GGGGAGGGGCTCTGAAGGCGCTGACAACCATATGCTACCAGCAGCCACCGTCCTTCTCGAAGGGGGCCTGAGCAGCATATCTGTGTGTCTGTCACAGAGCTCTCAGAATTATGTGTTTGAATCTGAAGAGATAGGTTAGGGCTAGAAGCTGAGGTGAGGCTAAGGATCTGGATGGGTTGATGGGATTTCCAAGGGAGAATAAGAAAAAAGTGGGAATCATTAGGTGGGATGACAAAATGTTGAAGTTGGGAAAAAGTGACAGGATAAAAATAGCTAAGCCTATAAGAGGGATGAAGGGAGACCCAGGCCCATCTGCTTCATGGATGTTAAGGGAACAGAAGCTTCCAGAATCAGAGATGCAGAGAGGTCAAGGCAGAGGAAAAGGAGAGGAAAGCCACCTGGATAGGACCTGGGCGGCTGCTCCAGGGGCGTGTGGGCTCACGGGAAGGGGTCTATTTTTCCCTCCTCTCTTGCAGGTGACTCAGATATTGCTGGGGGTTGTAAGCTGTGCTCTTGGAGTGTGTCTCTACCTCGGGCCCAGGATCCAGCTGCGTGCCTCGGGCTGTGCCTTCTGGGCGGGGTTTGTGGTGAGTAAGGAATGCACTGGGAGCTTGTTGGGGACAGTGGTTATGAGCAAGGAGAAAGTTCCTTTGGATCTGGGTGGAGGATTTGGGGAAGACACCAAAGATCCGAATGCTGTTTGCCATGAGGAAGTTGCCTTAGGTGGCTGAAACTCTCTCGCTTCCAGTTTTCTTCTGAAGGCGAGGTTGGGAAGGGTGCGGCAGTCGTAGCTGGAGTCCTGTCTGCATGCTGGGTTTCTTTGTCTGCCGCTTGGATTCTGCTTCATATTGGCCGTTCTGGGAACTGTTTGGTGGAAGGGTGATGGGGGATCAATTCAGAAGAGTAAACTGGAGCCCTTTTGCCGGTGTCTTCTCTTCCCAGGCTATTGCAGCAGGGGCTGGGGCCATCGTTCATGAGAAGCATCCGGGCAAACTTTCAGTGAGTCTTGGGCATCTTCTCCCCCTTCTCGACCCTCTATCCCCTCCTGTGTCTACTTTTTCTGCTCCGTTTTTTTTTTTTTTTTGTCTTACCCTTCAGTTCCTGATATCTTGGGGTCTTTCCCAGAGGGGTGGGGAGGGTTTTCCTGGGACAGGAGCTGGGGAAGAGGGGACAGGTTGAGGCTGGGACTTCAGGGCAATGCCGTGGATAGAGGGAGTCTGCACTGACCCGCTCTCTCCTAGGGCTGTGTGTCGGGTCTGCTCACCCTGGCTGGCCTTGCTACGGCTGTGGCTGCTATTGTCCTCTGTGTGAACAGTCTAACCTGGCAAACTGATGGCTTCTACTACATTGACTCCGTGTGTAATCGCCCAGACCCTGTCACCACAACCCCTGAGTACAGATGGATGCAGAAAAGACATTACTACTTAGGCTGGGACGAGCAGATGTGCAGAGACTACATGAAGATGCTGGTGGTGAGAACGACCCATCACAACCCTTCGCTCCCAGGGAATTGGGGCACTTGAGGACAGAGATGTGGGCTTTTCAAGCTTGGGCCTCATCCTAGGTTTTTGGTTGAGGAGATTTTAATTTAAGCCAAAGACACACCCCATGACATGAAGATTCCCTGAATCAAAGCTGGTGAAGTGCAAGGCGAAGACGTTTCAGAATGGAGATTGTGGCCACCTTTCTGTCATTTCTGCCATGTGGGGGTTCTAGTTTTCTATTGCCCCAAGTGGGGTGGCTTAAACCTACAATTCATCGTCACTTCTCACAGTCCTGTGGTTGAGTGGGCTCTGTCTGATGGGCCGTTCTTACTTGAGTGTCCTCATGCGGCAGTTGCCGTCACATGTCAGTGGGGGTGAAGTCATCCAAGGGGTGGGCTGGGCCGGGCCAGATGTCTGAGACCACGCACTCCTGTGATGGGAGCATGGCTGTGGCCGTCAGCCAGACATCCTGAGATGGCTTTTCCACATGGCTCAGGCTTTTCATAGTATGGCCACTGGGTTCTAACGGGGAGCATCCCAACTGTGAGCATTTCCACAGGTAGGAAGCTCCTGGGCCAGTTGAGGGCTACCCCTGTCACTGGCATAGTGTTAACGTTCACTGTATTTTATTGGCCAAAGCAGTCACAGGCCCTTCCAGATTCTAGGGGGTGGAGAAGTAGACTCCACTTCTCTATGGGAGTAGCAAGGTCACACTGCAGACACGCAGATGGGATGGAGGTTGTGCAGTCTGCTGCGGTGGGAAGTAGGGACAGAGCTGGTACGTGGGCGACTTGATAAGGGGGTGGCATGAGCAGGATTGGAGGCGCTGACTCCTGACTGTCTTTTTTTTCTTCCTTTATCTCCAGAACTTGTTCCTAGCAGTCCGTGCCCTGCTCCTGGCTGTCTGTGTCCTGATGGTCACTGTGACCTTGGCTTCTCTGGGAGTGGGTCTTCGAAGCTTGTGTGACCAGAGCTCCCAGCCCCTGGTGAGTTGGCGGCGGGGGTCTGGATGTGAAAATGTGGGAACAGGGAGGAGCATCGAGGCCAGGAACTCTTATCTGAGGTCAGGCCCCACCTCACCTGGCTTCCTTCCATACTCGGCTCATCCCTTCACTGTCTGGGAATGTGACCCCGTCCCTGTGTCCTGGGCTAACTTCTGCACACCCTGTGCCTCTCTCCACACCCTCCTTTACTCTAATTTCCCACTTCCTTCTCCGTTCTGCCCCAGGCACTTGTCTAAGTCCCCTTCCTCTGCCACCTTGTCTTTTTTGCATTGTCCCCACTTTCTGTCACCTTTTCCTTTCCCTCTTTCTTTCCCCTTTCTGATTTCCAAATTCTATGAAGCAAACTCTGCCCCATCCTTCTTTTCCCAATTTTTTTTTTCCAGGATGAGGAAGAGTCAGAGAAGAAGCTGTTGGGGGAGAATTCGGTGCCTCCGTCCCCCTCCAAGGAGAAGACTCCTGCTGCCATCATCCTGTGAGCAGCAAAAGCCGCTGCCTGGGCCCCTGCATGTCCCCGTCCAGAGCAGCCCTGGGCCCATGAGGAGGACGGTCCGCTCGCCCCAGGGCCCCCCACGACCCCATTCCTCCTGCTTGCCTCTCTCTGGGCCACTGTCCAATCCCCCTCTTTTCTTCTCTCCCACCGTCCTCACCCACCATTCCCACTCCAGTGTCCTCAAGTCAGTGAACACATAATTGTCACATTTTCCCCAAAGCTGATTAAACAGAAATAACCAGGAAAAATAATTTTGCACAGAAAGACTCGGTCTCTCTTTGTTTATACACCTGCTGTGCTGTGAAAGGCCTTTCTCTGGGTTGATACGCATGGAATTAAATGGGATCTGATTTATCACATGGAAACAAGGTCCCGGCAAGACAAAATTTAAAAAGATGTCCTGCTTTATATCCCACATAGCAAAACTCCTTTGTATGATTTCCTTCTATTTATTGTAAAGTGGAAGTAACTCTCATGTGCTCAGATCTTTTTACCTACTAAGATTGTCTTCAAGCATCTATAACTTTGAGCTAGACTTTACAAAGCTATGTGGAGCATGGACCAAGATTTCCTCCCCCCCGTCCCTCCCTCCTTCCTCTTTTTCTTTTTGCAGTAGCTAGTGCTGGCTGTCTGTCTTTCTCTCTCTTTCTCCACACACACACCCCCCTACTATTTTTAACTTTTATTGTAAATGATATGACCAATTTCTTTTTTACTTTTCTCATTTCTCTACATATATGAATATATAATATAAATATATAGATGTAATCATTTTTGAAGGGCAAGAAAGCAGGCTGTGGCTTTATGAAATCTCCACGAGGTGGGTCTTATTACTCAGCAGCCCCATAGGGAAGAACTGGTGTTCAGATCCAAGCAGGCTGACCCCAGAGCCCCCCTGCACCCTGCCCTTTGTCCTCTGCATGCAGCTCTGCTGAGCAGGTGCAGAGCTGCTGGGGGAGCAGGACATGCCTGAGAGTTTTAGAGTGGAGGTCCTGTGAAGAGGATCGTATCCTCCCCAGGGCTCCTCACCAGCCTGTTCTTTAGATAGAGATTTATAAGTAAGCCAGAGACAGAAGTATGTTCAGAGGATTGGAGAGACGTCAGCAAATTACAGCCTGGCAAATCCTGTCTCCCACCTATTTTTGTAAATAAAGTTTTATTGAAACACAGCCATGCCCATGTGTTTATACATCGTCTATGGCTGGTTTTATGTTACAAGGGCAGAGTTAAGTAGACTAAACCGAGACTGAATGATCCACAAAGGCTAAAATAATTAGTATCAGGCTTTTTACAAAAAATGTTTGCTGACCCCTGGTGTAGGAGATTCTGGTGGAAGGAGTGATTCGTTCTCCTTGGTAATTGAGGGGTTTGGAGTTCTTGAGAATCCCTTCCTAGAGGAGCCAACCTTTGGACAAGTAGTAAGTGTGAAACCAATTGGTTTCCTTATTTTCTTGAGTCTAGAGTCCACGAATCATCAGTCAGAAAAATGTAGTCCCAGAATCATTGGCAATCCCCACCTGCCAACCCCCCAAAAGTAAAAACTAGAGTCCCAAAGGCATTTAGAACTGCCTGAACCTCGTCATTTATCGTACCCCCAGCAGTGGAGTATGAAACCCCTTCATTCTCTGCTGAACAGGCAGGTGTGGATGTAGTTAAGCCCAGAAGCCACGCTGGGTTGAGGTGGATAACACGTGAAGTGCCAGGGCCTGTGAAGCCCACCTGGGCGGGCTTCAGGGAGAGCTGAGTCCATTAAGGAATGTTTACTGTGCCCCTTCATGGGTCTCCCATGTTTCTGCATGTCTTGCGAGCAGTGGCCCTGGCTGTCTTTCTTCTAGACTGTCTTTTCAAAGATGTTTTTACCACCTAGAGAGCAGCATTGGAAAATAGTGTCTCCTATGGAGCAAAGGATGGGCATGCTTATCACCTATTATGAAAGAATCAGCTTCCTTAAGCTCTGGGTTCCCCTCCTGGAACCCAACCCCCTGGTGTGCACATGTCCCTGTTTGCACTGTCCATGGGAACTGGGCTCACAGAACCAGTGTGAAAATGTTGCTACTGTGGCTACTGCTTTCTCTGCAAGTAACAAATCATTCTGGGTCTTTGACTCAGGTTTTGTGGCTTCTACCAGCATCCATGAAACCGTGGCAGGCTGACTTGTTGACCTGCAAGTAGGGTTAAATCTCAGGCCCTTCACTGTTCCTGACTGTGGCATCCTGTCATATGCAAGGTTTATGATACACACAGACTTAAGACACGGTTTCTGGCATCAAGAAGTCTACAGTCTGGTTAGGAAGAAGCTGTAAACCCTTTGCTAAAAAGAAAGGGTGTTACTTGAGTGCATCAGGCAAGAAGTTGCTGCACTTGTGCTTGCAGAGTCACTGCGGGAAGATGAGGAACGTAAGGAGAGGGGACATAAAGGGGGAGACGTGCAGGAGGAAGGTGCTCTGAGGTTGCTGTTGGTGCGTAAGCGGCTTGGGACACAGGGTCGTCAGGGCCACTCAGCCCTCGGTGTTCACGGGCAAGTAACTCAGCTAACCCACCAGCCTGACTGCAGGAACTGTGGCCACAGTTGGACAGGGGGTGTCTCTTAGTTGTCACAAATATTGACACTCAGGACTCCATCTATGAAGATCCCAATCTGCACTGCAGCAGGGAGAGAGGGTGGTCCTTGGGGTCTGAAAAGTACCAGGAGTCCTCGAGGTGGCAGAAGGCACCATTCTGTGCACTTCTGGGGTTGGGTGTGGCGTGGGGGGGGTGATGGGCTGAATTGTGTCCCCCTCGAAATTTGTATGTTTAAGACCTAACCCCCAGGAACTCAAAAATATGACTGTATTTGGAGACAGGGTCTTTAAAGATATAATTAAGTTAAAATGAGGTCATTAAGGTGGGCTCTAATCCACTATGACTGATGTCCTTATAAGAAGAAAAGATTTAGACATGGAGGGAAGGCCACGTGAGGACACAGGGAGAAGACGGCCATCTACAGGCCAAGGAGAGAGGCCTCAGAGGAACCAGCCCTGCCGACACCTTGATCTTAAACTTCTGGTCTCCAGAACTGTGAGAAAATAAATTTCTGTTGCTTAACCCACCCAGGCTGTGGTATTTTGTTACAGCAGACATCCACTGGGAGATGGGGGGCAGTCTGGGATGGCTTGGGAATGGGCCCAATGTGTGGGTATATCCCCCACACCCCCTTCTCAAAGTCCCTTCTCTGTTTACTCTTGGGAAGCCCCTTGTGCAGTCCCCAGGCTCCCCACAAAGGGGTGCCTCTGGTGCTCCAGGACCCCACCTATCTGTGCCATGGCTGATAGCTGCAGCTCCCGGGGCTGGTGCTCCTGGGCCCACCACCCAGCCATCACCCTGCAGGGCCTGCCCATCCTCAGGCTGCTCAGGCTACAGAAAATCGCCTGATCCCACCGTCCTCTCCTCCCACTCTACATCTGACTTCTCATGGCCTCCAGAGATCTCCTGCGCCCAAGTACTGCATCCCCCTTGTCCTTACAGGCTCTTCCAGCTTACTCTCTTCTAGTATAACCTCTTTAATTTCTAGTATAGTCTCTATAATCACAGGCATTTCCAGGACTCTCTCTTAGTATAACTCAGATGCTAACAGGACAGGGAGAGCAGCTTCCGTTGCTTGCAGCTTTAGATTTTAGTCAACGTGGCCACAGGCCAAGATGTGCTCTGAAATGCCTTTCCCTCAAGGGTCCAGCTACGTGGCCAGAAAGGGGAAGGGAGAATACTTGGAGAGCAGGAACCAGTTACTTCTCAGTTAGTTGTCCTGTCACACTGATCTTGGGGTGCTGGGCTCCCCAGTTTCTCCTGAGTGTCTTCTCTCTGCTGAAACAGGGCCTTGCCTCTCTGTCCCGACTTTACCCTTTCTGTTTTCCCTTATGGTAGATGACTCTGTTACCCCAGAGGGGGGCTTTGTAGGAGCTGCCCTCCCTCAAATTGGTCATGTCTATGCCTTGGAGTGTGTCACTGGAGCAGGGGAAGCAGAGGACGGAGAAACAGTGCCCAGGGAGGGAGGGTGGGGAAAGAGTAGAACTGCCCCCTGCCCTCTGTCATCATGAGACCTTTGGGAGCCAGGGACGGGATTCTCTGTGCAGATCACACAAACCCAAGGGGTGGTACGATGCTAACCTGCTGGTACTAGCAGAGCAGGTGGTAGGGGCCACCCTGGCTGGAGAGGGAAGATGTCACAGTTTCCTGGCCTCTGCATGGGCTGGGCGAAGGCTGGGGCTCCGTTTGTCCTCTGCCCAGCCTTGTGGAAGTGTCCATGCATATTCGCTCAGTAAACAAATGAGCATTGTCCTTAAAGACTGGGGAAAAGGTTGATCTTTTTTCACTCTGTATCCTGTAAAAGGAAAATTTTGACAGCTAGGGGGTGATTTAGATTCTTGCTGCTCAATGTGTGACTCATTGGCCTGTAGCACCAGCACCACAGGAACTTGCTAGACACGCAACGTCCCTACCCCACGCTAGACCTGCCGAATCTCACGAAATCTGCATTTTCCTGAGATCCCAGGCGCTTCATGTGCTCAGCAAATTTTGAGAAGCGCTGGTGTGGATATCACATGCAGGTAGCTTGCCAGGAACAAGAGCCCTTGAACTTAACCTCTTGGTTTTAATTCTTTTCATGAACTTGTTACTCTTGGAGTTTAAAAAGGAATTTTAGTGATAAGAAACACTGAAAAGTCAAAGGAGGCCTCTTTGCTTTCTTCCTGAGCTTAGAATGGTGTTGATTGCTGTGCTTCAGTGTTTTAAACCAGTCCTTTTATGGCCAGATCTCACAGAAATTCTTGTTTTTCATTCTGCTAACCAAATGTTAACTACTTTTTTGGGAGGGAGGGTGGGGTGTTGTTGCACAAAATGGTCTCTTACTGTCAGAGTCTGGTAACTTCTTTTTTTTCCTGGAGTTTCCAAGTCTGAGGGCAGATGTCCTCCCCTCTGTCTGACCTCTGTCCTCTCTCCTACTTCCTCTATTACTGTCTCCTCCACTCTTCTCTCCCCCGCCCCTCCTGTGAATAGCCTTAGACGTTTCTGTTTCTTTGTTTTTCTTTTCTGTAGGAAATCAGATGCCGCACTCCTCTGTCCTGTTATTTTTACTCGGAAGAGCCAACAGCTGTCTGTCTATTGCACAACTCAGTCTTGGTGGTGGAACTGTATATAAACACATAGAAATGATTTCGTGGTCCTGACCCAGGTCATGCAAATCATCTCAAGCCTATTTATGTGTAAAATATTTTTCGAAGGAT